AGAGCCTTTCCACGCCATGGAGACATTTCAAAGCACTTCTCGGGTGGATTGATTGTGTATTTTGTGAGCGAAATTTGGCAGACAGTTGCACACAGCAAAGTTTCACAAACAGCCATGGAGTGAGTGAATGAGTGACCAATTTTATTTANGGGGATTGTTGGCTAGGACACCGGGAGAGAGAATCTCCTTTCTCTTTTCGAATAGTGCCATGGGATCTTTAACATAATAATCCCTCCAAAAAAAACAAAAACAATAATAAATTGGTCATTTTCAATCTACGACTGTTTGTGGGACATTGCTGTGCGCAATTTGGCTGCCGCGTTCGCCCACAAATATACAGTCAATTCACTTTACAGTGTGTTCTGTGAAGCGCTTTGGGACGTCCTCCCGACGTGAAAAGCGCTATATCAAATGCAAGGATTATTATTATTATTATTATTATTATTATTATTATTAACATCTATCTGAACAGGCAGACGGGAACTCGATTAAATGCGTAATTTGAAGGACGGCACCATCAACAATGCAACACCCTTCACTGGAGTGCTTCAGTGGAGTGTCAGCTTACCATTATGTGCTTGTCAAGTCACGACGTGGGGCTTGAACCCACAACCTTCTGACTCAGAGGCGAGAGCGCTACCAATTTGCAGGATTGTCCCAGCGTCGGAAAAGGAATACCTTGCCATTTCCGGCACCTGGAAGTGTTGGAGTGGAATTCTTCATGATCAATGTGATAAGGCGCTGTATAAAATTGCAACGCGTGTTTTTCTTACTACCTTTGCCATCTCCTCCAGCCTCACTCTCGAAGACGTGATAAGGCACTATACCAAATTTACTAAATTGATAATAATCTTTGCACTTGATGCCTCAATGCGCTTCACAGCATTTTGCTGTAAAGTGCGGTGATGTGTGTTTTTGTGGGAAGGGAGGATGACTGCTTGCTCTCTCTCTCCCTATTTGCCCCAGTCCCAGTGGGAAATGTTCCTGTTCCTTTCCTCAGCCCCTGCTGCTTTTCGTTCTCCCCAAAGTTTGTGAAACTCAGGAACACCCGGATTCTCACTCGTATTTGGTTAACATTTCTGCTTTTTTTCCCTACTCTCCAAAGAGAATCAAGCCTGGTGTGCGGGCGATGGAACCTTGACCTTGTGGGAGCTTGGCTTAATGTTGTTGTCGGATTCAATTTTAATCTGTTTTCCCGAATTCCTCCTTTAATCGGATTCTGGTGCTGTGGCCAGTGGACAGTCTCCAATCCTCTCTCATAACCTAAGGTTCACAGTGGCTTGTTTCAGTCCAGCTCAGAGCTTGTGGTGCTGTCACTGCTAAGAGTCACTAAACCTACTAAATCTTTTACCAACCTGTCCGTTCCCTCTGCTTGGCAGGCACTGGCCCGCTCCACTAATCGGTGTTTGTGCCCCCACCTTCTGGAACTCCATCCCTCTGCCTCGCTCCCTCCCTTACCACCCACAATTGCAGGGGTGGGGTGGGGTGTTTTGGGGGAAGAAACAGAATGAGATTAATGATTTCCCACATTTCTGCATCGACCGTAAAAATTTAAAATTCAAAATAAGTCCTGCAGGGTTAACCCGAGATGGAATCCCGAGCTTCAGGAGTGTATACATTGGGATTGTTTGGTAAACTTTGCCCCACTTTTCTAAATGTAGCATCACCAAGGGTAAGATTGTGTCTGTTTTTCATCAGACACCCTTGAAATGGTTCCTCGTCCTATCATTGGCCTTGTTGATCCCATCTGATGGCTCAGTTGGTAGCACCCTCACCTCTGAGTCTGAAGGTTATGGGTTCAAGCCCCATGTTGGGACTAGGAACCCGTATAAGGTGGGCTGATGCTCCAATGCAATGTTGGGAGTCCGGAGGGGAAGTGCCATATTGACCGAGGTCTTGTCTGCCTGACCAGGTAGGTAGACATTAAAAGATCCCACGGTGCTATTTGAAAAGAGAACTGAGTTTCTCCTGGGGTCCTGACCAACAATCCCCCCAAATAAAATTGGTCGTTCACTTCATAGGTGTTTATGGGACATTGCTGCGTGTAAGATTGGCTGCCGCCTTTCACCCACTAAATACATTCAAACTATTTTACTGTGAAGTGCTTTAAGATGTCTTGATGATGTGCTACACAAAATGCAAGGATTGTTATTATCTCTCTGGCTACCTGGTATTTTGTGGTGCTTTTTGGCCCCGGACTAAAAACTGATTGTCAGTAAGCGAGCGAGCGAGCGAGTTCAACCGAGATTACTGGCCTGTTTACTTTTCACGCACTCGTGTCCTGAAGTGGGGCTTGGCTGGGATAGCTTGCCAGCAATACAATGCAGTCATAAAGCGTGACTCTGTTTTAAGGACAAGTTCAGCAAGAGATCTGGGCTCCCAACCAGGCTGCAAACAGTGCGTTTTACAATTACCAGCAGACTCACTCCTTGTCTTACATCACTTGTGTGTTGGCCTAGCTAAAGCAGTAGCGCTATTACCTCCAAGTCTGAAGGTTATGTGTTCATATGGAGAGTAGTGTGAAGTCCCGTAGGGTAGTGGTTAGGGTATTCGCCTTGCAAGTGAGAGGACCTTGGTTCGATTGCTGGACAAAACCTTAGGCAAGTTTCCTCACCCTACACACCTCTTGTTTACCTAGCAGTAAATAAGAAGCCGGTTGTTAAGTTGACTGGCGGGTTGCTTTCCGGGGGTAATAAACCCTAAAAAAAAATGTGGACACTCAATCCTCGACTGTTTGTGGGACACCGCTGTGCGCAATTGTCTGTCGCGTTTCACCCATAAAATATACGGGCAATTAATTTTACAGCATTTTCTGTGAAGTGCTTTGAGACATCTTAACGATGTGATAAGGCACTATTATCAAATGCAAGGATTATTATTATTATCCATGTGTCAGCCTGGCTCAGTCAGGAGCATTCTCGCCTCAACTCTGAAGGTTGTAGGTTCAAGCTCCCAATTCGGGATTTTGAGCTCACAGATTTTCGTTGATGTTTAAGGTCCAACATATATACATATGAATCAACATGGTTAAGAATCAACAAATTTCCCAATGTTTGCACACTGAATGGATAAAAATAATAGTTCCAGATGACATATCAGATGTTACTTTCAGTGACCTTCAATAGGCAACACTAAACGCAAGCACCCAGTGAACAAATCCCATCACCTGTGTGTGTCAGCCTGGCACAGTGGTAGCGCTCTTACCTGCGAGTCAGGACTTAAGACCCACGTCTGGACTTGGAATCACATCGTCTAAGATGGCACTCCAATGCAGTCCTGCACTGTTGGGAGGTGCCATTCTTCAGATGAGACGTTAACCCAAAGCCCCTTCAGGTGGACATTAAAGATCCAATGGCATTATTCGAAAAGAGGAGTTTCTCTCTCCCGGTGTCCTGGCCAACAATTCCCCCAAATAAAATTGGCTGTTTGTGGGACGCTGCTGTGCGTAACCGCCAGCAGCATTTTGCCCACAAGATACAGTCAATCCATTTTACAATGTATCCTGTGAAGCACTTTTGAGAAGTCTCAACCATGATAAGGCACTGTATCGAGTGCAAGTATCATTATCTCTGTAAACATCATGGACAAACACAAGAAAATTGACAAACATTGATTCTTTTTATTATTATTATATTCCTAGTGACACAATATAATGTATAAATAGTTCTGATCTTGTTAAATGCTCTTTTCTCTCTTTTTAAAAAAGCGATAACTTAGAGATTATATTATACAAAGCTTTTACAAAAATAAATAGGTTTTAATTTGAATTTGTACAAAATAAAACACAGCAAGTCCTTCACAGAAGGATTTTAAATAGTCTCTCTTTGTTTTGTTTCATCTTTACTTATAAAAGTCCGTTTCTCTGGCCTCTCAAGTCTCCGCTTGTATATACATTCTTTATGGGATTCTGATTCTGCAGGTTGGAAAAATCGGTAGTTTTTTTTAATGTGTAGCAGCCTGTGTGTAACGTAGTTTAAGCTTTTTTCCACTCTCCGAAATCTATACAATCTCTGCCCTTCATCGTTGAGGTAGTTACAGACTGGGGCTAGTAATTTTGTTAGTTTAGCCTATAAGTCGAGACTCCACTCCCACCACCCCACACCCAACCCCACCCCAAATGAGAGGCCAGTGGGAATTTTTTTCCACCACCCCTCCTACTTTGAAGCAAAAATGTAACGAGATGGAATTCAAATTTAGCGTGCGGGGCGCTATATAAATGCAAGTTGTTGTTTTGTTGTGGTGAGTAGACAAACCACAACCAATTCCCTCAACTGGAGTCCACATGCTGTGCAGCAAGTGGAAGGAAGCATTGAATAGAGATCAGGAATGTGGAACGTTGGGAGGTTTTTCCTCTATTAACACAGGGTGGAGGTTGGGAGGAGAGGGTGCCCGAAGCCAACCTCTGTCCCAGCCAAGAGCAGCCAATTCTGGACAGATGGGGATTCGGACCCGCGATTTCCCCCGGTCAGTCTGCACGACTCGGCTGCCCTCACTGAACACCCCGACAAGCCACCGGAGAGGCCAAACACTGAATTGCTTCTTTGTGTATGTGTCTGTGTGTATTATATATAATAACCACTCGGGAGAGAATCATTGATGGAGATTATTTGAAAAGGTCCCTTGCTTTGGCTTCCTGGGATTTCCCCCTTCCTCCCGTCCTTCCCATCAATCAAGATCGCAGGACATTCCTTCGATGATGGTTGATAAAAAAAAGTGTCGCCACCCGACCTCCTTTCCCCAGAAAAAAAACCGTAAGGGGTTCTCCGTTCACTGCAATCTTCTGCTGCTGAGCGAATTGGTTGTAGATCACGAAGAAGGCTATTGAACTTATCTGGCACAGGGACTGAAGGGCCAGTTTCTAAGCAGTATCACTCTATGACCAGGGGGACATCAAAGATCCTTCTTTAATCCCTGTCCCCCTCCCCACCCTGCTTCACTGCTCCTTTACAATTTGGCACCAACTTGAAGGGGGGGGAAAAAAAAACATGCTGCAAGCTGACTCTTTGACCTTTATCGGGTGGGGGTGGGGAGAGAATTCCTTCACTCTTCAGTGCAAATTGGTATGTGTGTATAGTGGGGTGGTGTGGGGGAGGTGGGTGGGGGGAGAAGAAAGAGGGTTCCACTCTCCCTCTCAACATTAAATATAAAAACTTTTTAGAGAAATTTGTTCTTTGTTCCCAGACGCCCATCCGTCTGTCTGTCCATCCATCGGAAGCTCAACCACACACCCCAACGTTGCAGAAGTCAATCAGCCGCCGGGGTCTCTTGGCCTGGTTACAGCTGTCCTGTGGCAGGCTCTGCCCCCGGCCCCCCGCGCACTCCAGCTCCCGCCTGCGAAAGCCCCGGCCGCATGTCTTGGAGCAGGCTGACCACTCGCCCAGTGCCCAGCGTGGGCAAGGCGTCTCCGCACACTGCCTCGACCCGTCCGGCCTCAGCTCCTTGCGGCAGCCGGGGGCGGGTCGACCGTGAGGGTCTGCGCACACCACCGACCTCCTCTGCCAGCCCAGGCCGCAGGTCTTGGAACACTCGCCCCACTCGCCAATCACCCACTCAGAGGTCAACGTCTCCCTGATGGCGTTGAAGGACTCCTTTCTTCTGGGGCCGGTCTTGGTGCTGTGCTGGGATGGAGTCCTCTTGGCGAAGTAGGTGAACTTGATCCTTGGCCGCAAGGACTTGCCCACCGTCAGCACCTCCACCACCAGGGCCTCAGACAAAGCCCCGAAGCTGCGCACTCTCTCCAGCAGGACCGAGGAACCACTGTACCGCAACGTCGCTCCGTGGAACGAGACGTCCTGCTCCTGAGTGGACAAGGTGTAGCCGCCGTTCAGCAGGTAAGTGCCGTCGGTCTTCCTCAGAGCCAGATAGTTTCCATCGTGCCTTTCGCCCCGGGCACTGCGTTGCTTGATGTCGACATTTGTGGCTCCGGCTGGAATGGTCACCACCTCCTGGTACCCACGTCTGTCCCAGGAAAAATTGGGAAGGGGGTGGGGGAGAAGAAGAGAAAAACAAAACACAAGGTCAGGATGACGGTCAAGTGTCATCGTCCCCTGCTTCCCCGACAAATCGCGACCATCACCCATCAACATCAGCAAGCAGCGGACTTGCTCAGCGCTTCTCACACCCACCCAACCCCCTTGCCACCCAACTCCCAGTTGGGGTGCAAACCATTTGACTCTCCAGCAAGTTGGGACGTCCTCCCTACTTTAAAGGCCCTGTATAACATGCAATCTGTTCTTGCAAACAGTGAGCGGTAGTTGGGTTGGACTTACTTTGAGAGGAGGAAGGAGCCTGAGATCTTCTTGCAGGTCGAGCTGTTGCCCCCACACACCCCGCACTTGTCGAACTTCTTGTTTGAGCCGATGATCCGATCACACCCAGCCTTCACACACTGCCCCTGAACGCAGACCGAGGTGGACTCTGGGCTGCACAGGGTGCCATCAGCCACCTGTCAGGAGAGGAGGAGGGTGATTTTACTAGACGGCCTTCGCATCTGGCATTGTTACTGTTGTTAACCCCTCATCTGAACAACAGCCCCACCGACAATACTCTCTTCATCCCCCCCACTCAGCGCCACCATGATTCAATAATAATCCTTACACTTGATCACATTGTAGAGACTTCTCAAAGCACTTCACAGAATATATTGTAAAGTGAATTGACTGTATATTTTGTGGGTGAAACGCTGCAGCCAAATGCACACAGCCAGTTGTGGATTGAGTGACCAAAAATCTTAGGTTTTTTTTCTTTTGCTTTGGAGGGATTATAATCCCCAGAAAGCAGTCTGCCACTCGACTAAAAAACAGGTTGCAACTTGCTGCTGGAACAAGGAGTGTGGAGTAAGGAAACTTGCCTACTGTGTCGCCCTGCCCGGGAATCTTCATTGCAAGCTGAGGGCACTAACCACTACGTTACAGGTCAGGTGAATTCAACGGACGTTTCAGCCTGGAATGTGAGCTCCATGTCCCCAAACATCAGGCCTTGAACCCTACAACTTTCTGACCCAGAAGCAAGAAGCGGTACAGAGTCACCCAAGCTGGGGCGCTCTGGGCTCACACACTCAGAAGATGAACCAGGAAGAGACTGACCAGGGAGAGGCTGTGGAAACTTACCTTAGGCTGAAGCACAAAGTAGTAGCCCGTGCCTTTTGCTTGGCAGAAGAGCTTGCAGCGGTCTCTGGGAGAGACGCCAGTGTATTTGGGGACCCACTCCACAGCGGGCATGCCTCCGAAAGCAGGGGACTTGGAGAAGTCATTGTGCACCTCGCACTGCTCCTCACGGAATGTTTTGCCTGAGTCGAGAGAAAGAAAAGATGCATTGAAATGATCCATTAAACCATTACACTGGCCTCTCTTCAGGGCCTAAAGGGTTAAATTAGGTGGCCAGGTTGCATAAACTTGATCCCTTACCCTTCAGTTTAGAAGGTTGACGGGTGATCCATTTGAGGCGTTTAAAATAATAAAGGGATTTGATAGTGTAGATACAGAGAAACTAAATCAGGAAGCACTTTTTCACCCAAAGGGGAGTATAAATCTGGAACTTTCACCCCCCCCCCCCCCCGCCACAAGGCTGGATCAATTAAAATTTTTCAAGACTGAGGTGGATAGATTTTTGGTAAGGGGATCAAGGGATATGGAGCAATGGCAGGTAAAAGTAGTTGTGGTACAGATCAACCGTAATCTAATAGAATGGTGGAACAGGCTGGAGGGGCTGAATGGCCTGCTCCTGTTCCCATGGTCAGGGAGTCAGCGATTGGAGGACATAGATATAAGATACACAAGAAGAGCCAAAGGAGAGCCCAGGAGACCTTTTCTCACTCAGGAGAGTTGTTGGGATGTTGGTTTGAATTATTGGGAGGGGAGGGGGAGGGAGGAGAGAGGGAAGAACTTGGTCGAGGAGGGGGAACATAAGACAGGATAAATTCGGAGTCTTACCATTACTGTCAGGGCATTCTGCAGTGTTGCACGACTTGTACTGCACCCTCTTGCCTTCGCAGTACTTGCCGCCATTCTTGGGGACGGGACGATCGCAGTGTCGGAACGAGTACTGCACCCCGCCTCCGCACGTCCTCGAACACGTGCCCCACGGGCCCCACACCCCCCAGTTCCCGTTCACCGGCGTCTGGAAAAGAAGAGGGGGGAAAAAAAAATTGTTCGACGTCTCGTCCAAAACAACTGTATAGTTTGCCAGCAATGCTTTCAATCAATCAATCATTTCAATAAGGCATCCCCTCTCCCTTTGCCTCCTTCGTGGCGTGTCTCAGACCTTCCTCTTTGACCATGGCTTCAGCCACCCCTAACTCACCCCTACCCTCTGTCCCTCTCGATTCCAACACCCAGCTCAGTCAGGGGCAAACCCTCAACTGTCCAGCGCCTTGGGAATGTCCTTCCAACACGAAAAGGCGCTAAGCAAACGCAATTTGTCATTTGTTGAGGTTAATAATAATACTCCTCCTTGCATTTGATGTAGCGCTGTATGGCGTCATTGAGACATCTCAAAGCGCTTCACGGAATATACTGTAAAGGGGTTTGACTGCATAGGTTGTGGGCGAAACGCGTCAGCCAATTTCACACAAACCATCGTGGACTGAAAGATGGCAAAAAATTTGGGAGGGATTATCACCTCAGACGCTATAAATCCCGTGAAGCGTTAACATCCTAAAAGGAATTAAAAACATCCCCCCCCCTCCCCCACCCAATTAAAAGGACAGTGCGACACTGGCACAGACACTTACATTGTACTCCTTCATGCTGGTCTGGTTGACGCACTTGCCCTCCATGCACCACTTGCCCTGCCCGCAGGGGGTGCCGTCGGCCCAGGGAAAGTGTTTGGTCTGGCAGATCAGCATCCCGCCGGCATTCCCCGTGCACCACAGCAGCGAGCAGGTGTTGCTGGTGTCGGGGCAGAGCCGGGAGTCCTCGCCGAAGGTGATCTGGCACTGATGATCGGCGTCGTATGTGCTGCCCGGGAGCTCGTTGGCCAGCTGCAGAGGGCTCTGTGGTTTGTCCAGCAAACACTCACCTAAACACAAGTAATAACAATTGCATTTGATATAGTAGAGTCCTGTAGCGTAGTGGTTAGAGCACTCGCCTCGCGAGCGAAATGACCCGGGTTCGATTCCAAGGCGGAGGCTGAAACCTCAATCCCCACGCCTCTGTTTACCTATCAGCGAGTAGGAACCCGGTTGTTAGATCGATTGGCAGATCACTTTCCGGGGCTAATAATCCCTCCAACTAAAAAAAAATTTCAAATTTGGTCACTCAATCCACAACTGTTTGTGGGAATCTGCTGTGCGCAATTGGCTGCCAGGCTTTTTCCACAAAATACAGTCAATCCACTTTACAATACATTCCCAACGACTCAATAAGGCGCTATATCAAATTCAAGGATTAATATTGTAGTGTTTTATTGCATTGTTGAGACATCTTAAAGTGCTCTGCAGGGATTTACTGTAGAGTGCGGCGACTGACTATTTGTAGTGTGTCAGATAATTTTTAAAGTTTTTAACCATTTTAGAAAAAAAAGAAGAATCGTGATACGGCCTTTAAAGTCGAGAACTTCTCAAAAGCTTTTTGCAAGCTTTCTTTGAAGTGTAGTGACTGTGAAATCCTACGCTCTGGTTGGTTGACCTCAGCCAAGATAGCGTCAGTGGTGCAGGAAGGAGGGGGAATGAGCAGTGGAAGAGAGCTGGAAAAGAGGGAGTGTTGCATGCAGGAGAAGGTTACATGGATGGGGGTTGGGGGGGTTCGCTGTCGAGGACCTGAAAGGATTTTAAAAACTTGGATTCTGTACACGGGAGATGGGGTGAAGAGAGGAGTCAGTCAGGCTCGATTGCAGTGACTGTGTCAAAGGTCTTTCCTTGGACAATAAACAACTACATGAAGGTTGCGGAAAGCAACCGGGCGGGAGGAGGGGAAATAAAGTGTATCCCAAACATGCACAGTGTTAACCCCTCCAGAGTGCAGAAAGCTAGAGCAGTGGAGAATTATTTTTTGGTTAGCTTTTTTTTAATATAAATCACCTATAATTAATTAAAACGCATTCTTTCTGAAAAAAAATCTATAGAAAAGTAAGATCATTCATTACCCGAGTCCACACATATATATATATATTTTATAAAAAAAGAGAAAAAATAAACACCTCTCATTATTAAAGTTTACTTAAAATTCGCCCATCACTCATATAGCAAGTGGGCTGTCTCGGTCGGAAACAAAGAGGGAAGGGTTAAAATACTAACAGGATAATTAATAATCCTTGCATTTGATATAGTGCCTCATCATGTCATTGCGACGTCTCAAAGCGCTTCACAGAACATAGTGTAAAGTGGATTGACTGTGTATTTGTGGCGAAACTCAGCAGTCGTGGATTGAGTAGACCATGAGTTTGCAGAAACACTATTTATTTAGGGCCCATTTGTTTAAACTAACGCCCCGCCGGGAGGTTCTGCGTTGTATTCTGAACGGAGGTTGTCGCCCACTTGAAGAAAAAGCCGCCCACTTGGAAAAAAAAAACAAAACTTTTTGGGGGCCAGAGAGAAACGTCAAAGGTTTATTGGAGAAGAGATGCTTACCGTGCCCGTTATCCAGGAAGGAAGTCACCATGTAAGCGCTGCAGGCTGACCAGGGCTGGCTCCTGTCCAGGTTGGAAAGCGTTGACGCCATCAAATGGGAAATCCCTGTTTGCCCGACCGTTTGGAGACACTGCTTTGCGTCATCGTGAGGCATGTTGAACACGTGGCCTGGAGGTGGGGGCAGAGAGGAGGAGTCCTGTTTGAGTTACGAGGGTAGCGTCCGTCCGCTCGAATTGCTGGACGGTCTCCGAGCCGGAAACCCCTTCTCCCCCCCTCCCCCCCTCAGCAGAACTTGCTGCGCACCTGCCTCAATGCCGGCCACCTGCCAAACCGCACTGCCCCCCCTGGACTCCAGATGTGCGTCAGATGTACGAGCTGCACACCTGCCTGGCTCCGGAGGTCAAGACCTTGCGCCCGCAACTGGGGGCGGGGGTTAGACCTGGGCCATATATTCCCGCAGCTGCTTCCCACGCTTTCTCCTGATGCGCCCACGCCACCCCTCCGCCACCACCCACCCACCTCGTATACACACACGCACACACACGTGCGCGTCTCGATCCGAGCCCGACCCACACAGCACTGAATGACGGACACAGCTGAGCGCAAATAAAGAGAACTTTGCGGAGCAATAAAGAGTTAACTCTCGGCCAAGTGGTTGACAGCCGATTCAGAAAACCCTCCGTAACCGGATTCTTGCTCTCAGCAACTTCTACCAAGGAAGTAGCAGCGCATACATATATCTACACACACACACAGAGCAACAATTTGTAACAATAATAATAATAATGCCAGGGTTGTTGTTACTCTTATTATGTAGGCTAACTGGCGTGGGAGAAAGGCAGCGACTTTCATTCTATCCCACACACAGGGAGGAAACAAAAAAAGGAAAAGGATTTTAATTTGCTGTTTAAAAAAAAAGTCGTAACCACAATCCGTTGGGAGCTTTCGGCGTGCGATTAGGAAATGTGGGCTCGCGGGGAGGAAAGGTCGTCAGGATGGTGGGGGAGGGAAGGAGAGAGAGAGAGAAAAACACTTACCCAGTTCGTGAGCTGCAGTAAAAGACGCCTGAACCCCATCGTCCTCTATAATAGAGCAGCTTCGGCTGGGATCACAGACTGTCCCCACGTCAGCCATCCCCAGGGTATCACAAGTCTGGGCTCCACACAGATCCTGGAGACAAGGGGACCATTTAGCAGTTAAATACACAGTACACATCTCGCGTGCGAGAGAAAAAAAATAGCAGAGAGAGTGAGCAGGTTGTCTACTGTATTAACTCTGCCAAACTTTTACTTAAGAGCCCCTCTCTCTCTCTCGCTCTCTCGTACGTACATACGCACTCTCTCTCTCTCCCTTTCCCACCAGCTTCCAAAAAAAAAAATCACACATATCCTCAAAAGATGCTTTGTAGGAATTGTTGGCTGCAAGTTCGTCTGCGTGTTAACACAAGATACACAGTCAAGTCATATTATATATATATATATATATGTGGTGCTCTATAAAATGCAAGAATTATTATTATATTATCATATAATAGGTTTTTACATATCTATACATACACACTATATCTATATATATTTATTCTGCGCTATTGTACTGTTACTTACTTTCCTGGTGAACAGGATAGCTGTGTCGTAATGGTCAGGGTCCCTGTCGCTGGCGGGGTTGTGCTGCTTCTGCCAAGAGCAGAAGTCACGGAGGGTGAGGGCTGCGTTGCTGGTCACCTGGGGGCCCTTCTCGCCCTCGTAGATGACCAGGATCTTGACCACCACCAAGTTGATAGGGTTCTGGATGCTCGGGTGCTTGTAGAGCTTAGCGGCCACCGACATCAGGGTCAGCAGGTAGTGCTTGAGGTCGCTGCCGTGAAACTCGGCCATGCTCTGGTCGGCCACCAGCAGAGTCTCCACGTAGCGCGGCGAGGACACGAAGCGCTTGGCTCTGCGCTTCCGCTCCGTCGCCGACAACGACTCTCTGGGCTCGTGCGCGACATTGGGCTCCTGGGGACGCTCTGGAATGTCCTGGTCGCTCACCTGCAACGGAACGAGGGTGGGGGGGGGGGGGGGGGGGGGAGGAGGGTGGAAGAGAGCGAAACCCGGTTATTAATAAGGCGAGCAAGTGGCAAACGTATAAAGCGCTGACAACAAGCTCCCCCCCACACCCCACCCCCACTTCCTCCCTTTTCGGTTCATTGCAATGTGAAGTCAGGGCATGGGCTCGCAGGACTTGGGGCAGCTCTGCTAGCATTCGAGCCCCCCGCCCCCCCCACCGCCCCCCACCTTAACTGGGGTAAAAAAAATTCCACCGAGAACAGGCACCCGCCCACCCCCTTACATGGGCTAAATGCGCACTGAGCACCAGCCCACCCACCCCGCCCAACCTTACATGGGGGAACGTGCACAAGGGAGAGGTCTCTCTCCCCCATAGACGGGGAGAGGCGGGCAATAGAGAAAGAGAAACTTGAGTGACGCTAGTCTATGCAGCTGATGACTGTTAAGACTGTCACTCCCCTCTTCTCCCTCCCTGGAACTGACCCAACCTTCCTGTCCAGGAATTCACCGAGCCAAAAGAGAGACAGAAAGGGAAAGAGAGGAGAGAAAGGGGAAAAAGAAATCCTAACTGGGGATAGAAGAAGGGGGGTTTGCGAAGCACAGAATGAGAGGCTTTTAGATCATGCTATTTATCGTACTTTTTTTTGGGGGGGGGGGGGGGTAGGGGGGAAAGCAAAGGAGGATGGGTGGAAAGAGGTAAAGAAATAAAAAAAAAGGATATCTTGGGAAAAAAACGCAAGGGAACACGAAGGAAAAAGATTATCGAATTGTGGGGTTTGCAAGAAGGTTTTAAGAGTTTGCGATAAGTTTTTAATAACTTTTGGGAAAGGAAGGAAAGGGAAATACACACACACATATATATACACACACACACACACACACACACACACGAGAGTTTAAAGAATTTGCAAAGAATAAAATATATAGAGAGAGAAAAAGGCAAATACAAATATATACAGAGAGAACGCAAAATAAATTAAATAAAAATAACGTGGTCACTCAATGCACGACTGTTTGTGGGGACGCTGCTGTGCGCAATTGGCTGCCGTGTTTCACCCACGAAATCTACAGTCAATTCACTTTACAGTATATCCTGTGAAGCGCTTTGAGACGCCTCGAAGACGAGATAAGGAACTATATCAGACGCAAGGCTTATTGTTAAAATAGTGGTGGAGGGGTGTTTGCATGAAAGGTTTGCAGAGTTAGCAGCGGCTGCAGATGGGGAGTGAGTGAGTGAGTGAGTGAGTGAGTGAGGGAAAGGGAGGGAGTGAGAGTGAGAGGGAGGGAGAGTGAATGAGTGAGAGAGGGAGTGAGAGAGAGGGAGGGAGTGAGAGAGTGAGGAGAATGAATGAGAGGGACAGAGGGAGTGAATGAGTGAGGGACAGAGAGAGAGTGTGTGTGTGAGTGGGGGGTGAGCGTGTGAGTGGGGGGTGAGTGTGTGTGAGTGAGTGAGTGAGCGTGTGAGTGAGTGAATGAGTGAGTGAGCGTGTGAGTGGGGGGTGAGTGTGTGTGAGTGAGTGAGCGAGCGAGCGTGCGAGTGGGGGGTGAGCGAGTGTGTAAGGAGTGAGTGAGTGAAAGGAGTGAGTGTGTAAGGAGTGAGTGAGTGAAAGGAGTGAGTGTGTAAGGAGTGAGTGAGCGAGTGAGGAATGAGAATGAGCGAGTGAGGAGCGAGAGCGAGTGAGGAATGAGAGCGAGTGAGTGAGTCAGTGAGTGAGGAATGAGAGCGAGTGAGTGAGTCAGTGAGTGAGGAATGAGAGCGAGTGAGTGAGTCAGTGAGTGAGAGCGAGTGAGGAACGAGAGTGAGTGAGTGAGTGAGTGAGTGAGTGAGGAATGAGAGCGAGTGAGTGAGTCAGTGAGTGAGGAATGAGAGCGAGTGAGTGAGTCAGTGAGCGAGAGTGAGTGAGGAACGAGAGTGAGTGAGGAACGAGAGTGAGTGAGTGAGTGAGAGAGAGAGTGAGGGCACTTACCCCGCACTTGGTGCCGCCGGAGCTGCTCCGCCTCCTGCCGACCATGTGCAGCTGCGGCTCTGCCCTCCTCCTCTCCCTCTGCCTCTGCCCCGCGGGGCGGATGGCGTCCTCTTGGCCGCTCTGCCCCCTCTCCCCCTCCCTCTGCCTCTGCCCCGCGGGGCGGATGGCGTACTCTTGGCCGCCCACCACGAACGCCCCTCGGATGCCCCGACACAGGCTGACGGCGGCCAGAGAACCGGGCAGCGAGTCCACGGTGCCGGTGTAGAAGCAGCGGCGCAGCTCCTCCTCCTCTCCCCCCCCGGCCCCGGGCTCTCCCCCCCCGGCCCCGGGCTCTCCCCCCCCGGCCCCGGGCTCTCCCCCCCCGGCCCCGGGCTCTCCCCCCCCCCGGGCTCTCCTCCCCGGCCCCGGGCTCTCCCCCCCCGGCCCCGGCCTCTCCCCCCCCGGCCCGGCCCCGGCCCCGGCCCGGGGGCTCCCCAAGCGCTGGAGGGTGACCGCCGGCGCCACGAAGCTGCGGTCCGGCTCCAAACGCAGCACAAAGCGCCGCCCGAAGGCGCTTAGACTGTAGGCGACCGTCAGCAAAGCCTCCGCTGCCGCCTCCCGCCTCTCCTTCCCGCACAGTCTCAGCCTCCAGTCTGACCGGTGTCACCCACTCCCAGTCCCAGTCCCACTGGTCCCACCGGTCCCGGTCCCGGCGCCCCGGGGAGTGGCTCCCGGAGTCGCTCTCGGCCGCTTGTCCGGACACCGCGCACACCGCCGCCACCAACAGCAGCCACGGCCGCGCACTCCGGCTGTCCATGGCTTTTTTTTTCCCCTTCTTCTTCTTCTTCTTCTTTTTCTTCTCTTCTCTTCTCTTCTTCTTATCCTCCTCTTTTTTTTCTTCTTTTTCTCCTTCTTCTGCTGTTGCTGCTGTTGCTGCCGCTTTCCACCTTTCTTTTCTCTTCCTTTTTTTTTCTTTTTCTCTCTCTTCTTTTCTTCCTGTCTTTCTTTTCTCTCCTCCTTGCTTTCCCCTCTTTCCTTCTTTCTTCCTTTCCTCTCCTTCTTTCTTCCTTCCCTCTCTCTCTTTCTTACTTTCCTCTCTTTCTTTCTTACTTTCCTCTCTTTCTTTCTTCCTTTCCTCTCTTTCTTCCTTTCCTTTCCTCTTTCCTTCTTCCTCTCCTCTCTTTCTTCCTACTTTCCTCTCTTCCTTTCTCTCCTCGTTGTCGTTTTTATAATAATAATAATAATCCAAAATAAATTGCTCCCTTCCCCCCCCGTAAAGTATATATATATATATATAAAAAATATAATAACAATTAATTAACAATAAATCGCTTTGTGACTGGGAATTTTTTGGGGAGGGCCAATTTTTTTTTAAAAAAATGATAATATATATATTTTTTGCACACCCCCTCCTCCCAAAAAAAAACTTTTGCAACGAAAAAAAAGGAGGTCAACGAGAAAAAAAAAGGAGATTTCCTTTTTTTTTAAAAAAAGGGGTTATCTTCTCTTTTAATTTACAATTAAGAAACTCACAAATAAGAGGGAAATTCTGCCCCTCGACCCCCCCATCCACACACCCCCCACAGCTCAACTCGACTCGACTCCCCAACTCGACTCACTCCCAAATTTTGAAGGGATGAATTGGAAAAAGGAGGAGGGGGGGAAAAAAAAAGTGGTGGTGGAAAAAAAAATATCTCCCCAATAACTTTCCTGGCTCTTCTTTCTCTTTTTTTTTTTGGGTGGGGGTGGGGAAGAGAGAGAGAAAGAAAAGGAGAGAAGAAATGAAAGCAGGAGAAGGGGAGAAGGTGGAAAGGGGGTAAAGAAAAAGTTTTGATCCAAACTTTTCTTTTTTTTAAATAAAAAAAAAAGTTTTTTTTTGAGAGAGAGGGAAGGAAAGGAGGAGAGGAGGGGTGGGTGGGGGAGAAAAGTTTCTCTTCTGCCTCGATCGTCGCTTAAAAGAAAAAGAAAAAGAAAAAAAAAGGGTTTTTTTTGCAAAAAAAAATCCCACTAAGATCTCTCTCTCTCTCCTCTTTTTTTCTTCTTCTCTCTTCTCTCTCTCTCTCTCTCTGTCCGTCTTATCTCTCGTTGATTTGGCTTCTGGTTGCAAATGAATGGAGGCAAAGAAATCTCCTTTCACACCGACTTTCTTTTTGTTATATATATATATATTATATATCTATTAAAAAAAATTGCTTCAGATTTTTTTTTCTCTCTCTTTTCAAAAAAAACCCCTCTGCTCTGTGTCTGTCTGTGTCTCTGTGTCTCTCTCTCTGTCTCTCACTCACTCACTCACTGTATGTGTCTGTTCGGTGAGAAGCACTTTACTAAGTGTGTTACGGTCCGGGGGTTTGCTTCCTTATATATACAGCCCCGACTGTGAGTCTCAGGGAGTGAGTGAGTGGATCATTACCCCTGATCCCGGCCTCTCTCTCTCTCCCTCCCTCCCTCCCACTCCTACACACCCCCTCCCCAATCTACACAGCCTATCCCAGCTCTGAGCGTAAGTAACCCAGTCATCAGGCCAACTGGCTCCCAGCCCATCCCATCATCCATCAACTCAGCACACAGAACTCCTTGCCTTGCTCTCGGATATATATTTTTTTTGGGGGGGGGGGGGCAGAAGGGAAGATATTTCGAAATAGGTTAATTTTTTAAAAAAATATATATTTCCCCCTATTTCCTCCTCTCTCCCCAGTTTTTCTCTTTATCAGTTAACTGGTAACTCACAGGATTCATGTTAATTTGCATCCCCCCCCCACCACCACCACTCCCCCCCAACACACACACACACACACACACATATATATATATTAATCTTTCCAAATGTCGATGTGAAGTGTAAATTGGGAATAAACTACTAAAGGGAATCTGCTTTTTTTAAAAAAATACTGGATCTCCCGCTTTCTCTCGTTATTATTGATTGGATTTCACTTCAAACCAGTTGCTAAATTGCGCAATGAGTCTTATTTTGGGGGTCGGTGGTGGTCGTGTACTTTTTGAAATAAAGCTCAACATTTTTTTTGGGGGGGAATGAAACTTCCCTTTTTCTCGGATTTTAAAGTCGTTATCATTTGTTTCTCTTTCTCTCTCTCACATGCACACGCTCCTTTTTAAACCTTGGCTTTTCCTTGCAGTTTTTCTTTTTTTGGGGGGGTGGGGGGGGGAGGGGGGTAAAAATACGAGAGAGAAAAAAAAACACTTTTTGTATAAAATTCCCAACTTTTACAATTTTCAAAGAGTTTCAGCCAAAAATGCCCGGCGTGAAGTCATTTTTAAGGTGGAACCGTGTTATATGCGCACAGAAGGGGGCACAATACAGCTCTATGCACATCTTTTAACCCCCCCCCCAAAAAAAAAACTTTCAAAGTGTTAAAAGAAAAAGACATTTTAATAAGACTTTATGAATTTCATGCCAAGTTTGCATTGGCTTTCACGGTGCGCGATAACAACATTCAACTCGTTTTAAATATTTGATACAGTGTCAAGTTTTAAGGGGCGCATAAATCAACTGAAGGAGAGCAAAGCCCTTCACACATACATTGGGGCATAATTGTTTTATTTTGTTACGTTAAAACAGCTGGGTTCAGTTACTCTCTAACTGAGATTTATTAGCTTCGCTGGTGCCTTGTTTGTGGATTGAGACAAATCGCCACCTTAAGAGTGATCTGGCGCTTGTTAAAGCGTTGAGGTTCAAACGCTCAAACTCATCAAAATTTCACAGTAAGCACAAATGAAGTATTATGAGTGGGCCTTATGTGTTGTTTTCAAAAATAAACATGTACTTCTTTTGAGAGATAGAGAGAGAGAGAGAGAAAGAACCCTTGAGCAGTTTAACCCTTTTCCCCCCCAAAATGTCGATTATGGCCAATATTAAAGGTAACCCTTTAAAATGTCCAATTTCGCTAATCACTTCCCAAACAACAAAGATTTTACAAAGAATATACAACACAGAAACAGCCACTCAGCCCAACCACTCTCTGCCGGTGTTAGTTCCTTTTTTTCTCGGGCGGGGGTGGGGGGTGAGGGGGTGATGGGGGTGGGGGTGGGGGGGGGGCATAATTTGAATGAACGGTTAATTTTCATATCAATAAAATAGCCACTAAAATTGTATGTTTGAAGTGGAGGAAGTTGAGGGTAAGGGTTTCAGAAAGTGGTTGAGGGATAACTCGAAACATAAACGGGTATCCTAAAACACAACATAAAACTAGGAGGTGGGGGGGGGTGGGTGGGGGGGGGCAGAAAATCAATGCTAATTTCAAGAACATTATGATCTAAATATCCACGAGTCAGGCTTTTTTGTTACAGCGCAATGATATTTTGCACGCGCCGCATTTTACTGAACACAGATATGATGTTGGGTATCTTAAGAGTTAAGAGCGGAAGAAGTGGCACTGGTACAACGCTGCCAGCAGATGGCAGTCCTCAACCGCACATCCAGCTCAGTAATGCCTGGGTCCATGAACTCACAACATTTCCTGATATTTCCCCCCCACTTTTATTGCCATCTCTTATTTCCGCCCCCCCCCCCCCCCCCCCAGCACGCCCCCACTACCAGCTCCGAAGTCATGTAATGATGCTGAGGTAGAGTTACACAAGGTCCAGCCAGGCTCCCACCTTTGTACCTTTCCTAAGTGGTCAATCATTAGTGTGAGCCCAGGAAGTGAGGCTAATTGACTATAATAATAATAATAATAATAATCCTTGCATTTGATATAGCGCTTATCGTGTCTTCTCGACGTCTCAAAGCGCTTCACAGAATAGACTGTAAAGTGAATTGACTGTATATTTGTGGGCGAAATGCGGCAGCCAATTGCGCACAGCAGTGTCCCACAAACAGCCATGGATTGAAATGACCAATTTTTTTTTGAGGGATTATTACTATGTGTGTGTCTGTGTGTGTATGTGTGTGTTTGTGGACACAGAATAGGAACATTGAAATCTTCAGCACAGAAAAAGGCCATTCGGCCCATCCTGGCCCGCCTGTTTTTCGAACCTATCCTTTTTCTATTGTGAATCCAGCTTTTTCCTCGCTTACCTTAATGTTTTCACTGCTTAGTGCTTTTCTGGTTCCACTGATTCTGTTTGATCCAATCTCGATTGGGCCTGTGGTAATTCTTGCCACCCTTGATGTCCTTCCCGCACACATACATGTATGTGTGTTCGTGTTGTGTGTGTCCGTGTGTATATATACGTGTGTATATGTACATATGTGTATTTTGGTCTGTGGATTTATTTGTCTAACATGAACATATATATACGTGCGTGTGTGTGTGTATGTTTGTGCATGTATGTGCATGTGTGTGTGTGTGTGCGCATCTATGTGTGTGTGTATATGTTTCTGCATGTACGTGTGGGAGGATGTCAGACTGAGGGTTTGATCCTACTTCTCATCCAGCATCTAGTAACATACTTCATCCAATAAAAGGGACGAGGGGTGTGCAGGAGAAGGAGGGGAATGTCACTGGAGCGAGAAACCCTAGCTAAATTTAACAAGCTCCTGTTATCTGCTCTGCATCGCTGATCAAAATAGTGGCGCTATCTTAATACTGTAGCACCAAATGTAATAATAATAACAATCCTTGGGTGGGGGATGTGGAACAGTCCAGTACTTGCAAAGCAGAGGGAACGGACAAGTTGTTGAAGCTTTAATAGGTTGCAGAGGTAAGGTGGAGCAAGACCATGGAGGGCTTGAAAGATGAGGACAAGAATCTTAAACTCGATCCTCTGAGCCTAGGTAATGGGGAACCAGTGAAGCCGGGCAAGGATGGGGGGGGAGGGGGGCTCATGAAGCTTCGTGGGGAAAGAAGGAGCGAACAT